GAGAGGAGAGTGCTATCGCATACTTTTATACATTTACTTTTAAAATGAGAGCATACTGTACTTGGATAATGTAAGTGTACAGTTATTTTATATGAAGACTGTTTGAGCCCCGACCTCAGTAACTCAGCATTCACTTCTGATGTTGACACTCGTCCACATCTTTAACAGAGGGCCACAATACTTATTTTAACTATATTTGATAAATTAATCAATACATTCATTTTAAATGTCAGAAAATTGTAAAAGAAAAAAATAAATCCACAATTCTTCCATAGCTAAAAGTGACATAAATTGCATGTTTTGTCCAACCAACACAAAAAAAACTGATATTCAGTTTATTATCATGCATTACAAAGAAAAGCAGTGAATCCTCACATTTGAGATGCTGGGACCAGAGAATGTTTTGTCTTATAGCTTGAAAACGACGATTAATCACTTTAAAAAATAGTGTTTTAATTTTCTTATCAATTAATCCACTAATCATTTCAGCCCTAGTGTCCGTACAAAAATATTCTTAGCTGTTATGGTTCTTAACTGAACATGAAATTGATTTTATGATTTCCCAAGTAAAATACAGTAAAAACCATCAGGTGTGATTTATACAGGTGCAGTTGACACGCCAGAAAATATTGCCTCTGGAGACAGCATGCCACCTTCTCACATGCCAACAGAAATATCTTCCGCCAGAACGAACTGGGCACATGTTCAGTGTTCATTATTTTGAATGTGAATGCACTGAGATTTGAAGATGACTCACCAAAACAGAAGTGGCTTGTGATATTTGAGGGACCTGAATTTGAATGAAGGATTGTTATTCTAACAGGAGACCGTAGACCAGTGCCTCTTCCTCCCCCCTTAGATTTGACAGAATCTGAAATAAAGCAGAATCAGATGGCGTGTACTCTAATGAGCCACAGCATTGGAATACAGTTTGGCTGCCTATCCCTTGGTACCACACCAATGCATATTCTTAAAATTAGCCATGAACTTGGCCTGTAACTGTCAGTTTGATGCTAAAATCTCCCCTCTGCACATTTTAATAGGACTGACCCTCCTGTCTATCTTCCTCCCCGTGTTTCTCATGCCATACTATGCCATGCCAGACTAAATTTACACTTCACAAGAGGTACTGTATGTCTCCTTTAGGGGACCTCGTTCCATTTATTTTCTCACAGTGCTGTTGAACAGGAATGCAGATTGGGGGATTGCGCATGCTGCTGTCTATATATAAAGCAGAATGCATGCCGCTCCAACAGCACCAGCTGTTAGTATACTCTTCCTCTTCCTCTTCAATCAGCTGGGCCCAGTGATATCGGTTTATTCTCTACAGGTGTTCACCCAAACACATTGAAAGGGACATTTTTTATCATCAGGGCCGTCACCAGGAGATTTATTTAGTGGTTGAATCATATATTCTGTCAATTTTGTCTCCTTTAATGACGGTGTACATGCTGTTTCAAATACAATTTATATGGACAGATACTAAATATCTTGACTCTGTTGTACTTTGAAGCTGAACTCCACCCAGTTTACTTATTAAGTTCATTTTATTTGTGACAGGAAATACTATTTAGCCTGTGGAAACGGTTGTATAATTTCTTCTGTGGTTCTGCAGAAATGTTTTATAGTTGATAAATGATGACATCACTATGACATCACCAGGGGAATCTCGGCTTGGACATGAGACGTTTTACAGAAAGTCTGCGTTACAAACTGGAGGCGTGGGGTTTAAAAGAAGTCAAGACAAGGGATTTAGGAGGCAAGGGGGGTCTAATAAAATATGCTATCAAGTTGCATTATGGTAAACGTAGGATCCAGTGTTTTTGGAGCTTGACCCATAATAACGACTAAAAGTCCATTCTTTTTTCTGTCTCTTGTGAGTCTCCCAACTTTATGAAATCCTCCCTTGAATTGAAGATTAATTAATTTAAAGATGTTATATCAGAAGCCAGTCATGTGTAATGGTTTTGTGTGTACTTGTGCAAAATGTAAACTCCCCCTCATGCCAATGAAACCTCTTGGATTCCCTCAAACAACACTGAGGACATGACCTTATTATTCGTCAAGTATTGTCCGAACTCCGAAGGAGAGATTTTGAGGTAAAAGATGTCTGACTGTCTCGTCCAGTGTGTGTATTTTTTCTCCGAATAAAACAGAAGATTTTAGGGAATTAGGTAACAATATGATGATTAATTCCCGTCTGATGTTACAAAGTGCATAATAACAGATGGAGTGGGGTATAAAGGGTTTACAGCACAGTGCCCTCTTCCCCTTGTTGCATCGGTTTGTGGAATAATTACCCACAAAACTGTTCTCCAAACCTAATCTCAAGCAAGCTGAAAATTTCATTGACGTATCCCTGCAACTCTCTCAGTCAGACACATACACACACAAAGTCAATTTACCACTGCCTGCCTCTGTACTATCTATCACTCAGACGCGGCATGTGTGCTGAGGCGTGACAACACTCATTCGGTCTTTCTTTTTTTGACAAAACCCCAAGAGATTTATTAAAAATACCACAGTGAACAAATCTGTTTTTTTTTTCTTTTTGCCACGCAGCAACAAGCGGATCTTGGTGAAGCGTTCACAACAATCCATTGCTTCCAGTGATTAGGGCCCAGAGGTGTGTATACATATTTGTGTGTTTGTGTGTACTTGACAACATAAGAACAAGAGAACAGGATTGAGAAAATGCCGGAGAGAGCGAAGTAGCTTTGTTGAGAGAGAGAAGATGTGCATATTTAATATCACAGACAGACAGAAAATCTTTCCCAAGTGTGCATGCACCTCCCTCCTGCAGTCTGAGACAAGGATGAGTGACAAGAATGAGTCCGAGACAAGACTGAATCCAGAGGAAATGACAGCACAGAAGTGAAGGCATCCAGTGTAATGTCAGCTATCAATTTTATGTAAAACCTCAAAACTAATAAATGATTTCCCACAGCACATCACAAAATCTCACAGACAAATCAGGATGAAAATCCCAAAAGAATATGTGGAGAACGAAAGCTGTACAATGTGGAAATATGGAAACTGTATCAGATTATTAGGTATTAGAGTGAAAATGAAATTACCCAATTAGATGAGGGTGTCGAGATAAACAGAAGGTTGAAGGGGACAAACTGTAGCCAGGAGGATATTTGTTGCTTTCTTTTGTTGGTTCACTGGTGTCCACCAACATGGCGACTGAGTACTAAAAGGTTACCAGGCTGGTTGTCTCTGTACTTTGACCTTCTAGAGTAATTAATGTGAAAGGGGGATGTGTTTGTCAACTGGAAAAAAAATAAAAGAATAAAATTTGCTTTAATTAAAGAATACATTTTTTCGTGTTTCCCAAAAAAATCCCAAAGGTTTCTCAATGCTGACCAGAGACTTTAAACCAATATATAAATAGAGAAAGACTGCACCTACACCGGTGTAATATTCCCAATAATGACAAAAAGTAACTTTATTAGTGTATCTTAGGATCACAGAAAATGGTAAATCCTAAAAGTTGTTAAGCGTAAAACCCCAGGTTTTGATTCTACTATGGGATTACTGTGAGTTGTATACAGTATCTTCCTACAGGATGCCAGGCTAGTGGGGCTGGCATAGATTCAAGTCCTCTGGGACCAAAGATTTAGCCTTCAACAACGTTCAACACAACATTTGGCAAAACTGGAGCCAAGAGCTACGGGGGGAAGCTGACATCAGCAACTTGCGCCATCAGAGATTAGTCACGACAGCGAGCCAGCAGTCCCTTGTCCCTCCATGTCCCCCTGGCTAGAGATTCAGGAAGGGACGGTTATGATGGACACCTGTCACAGCTCATCTCTGTCAGAAGAGTTCACACACTGTAGGCTGTGTGTGTGTGTGTATGTGGAAACACAGCTATGTTTAAGACAGAGTCCTGCAGGGAGTGAGAAGTAAAATGAGTGCCCAGCATGGAACAGCTGCTAAATGGGGCTTTGCAGAGGAGCAGGGAGTACACAGGCCTCAGTGAGCTGCAGATCGCTTTGTGGTAACACTGTCTGTCAGTTTCAGAGGTAGCTTTCTCTGGGCTCTAAACATGTTCTGCTCATGGTATATCTTACTTATTATTGGTGAATTATTAATCAGGGTAAGCATGCAGAGCGCTGCTTCCAGACGTCATTTGAAATCATGCAGGATTTATTGAAAATTAAAAAAAAGGTTGAAAATACTTTTAAAAAGAAACAAACCCACACACACACAATATATATAAAAATGTTAATCAACACGTTATTTATAGCATTTAAAAAAAAACATAAATCCACTGTTCATCTGCTCTTTCTGTATCTACATGTTATTCACTTGTCTTTACTAATTTACAAAAATTGTCACAATCTCTAAAATAGCAAATCTCTAAGACACACAGTGCATTCTGTATGGTCTCAGAGAGATTTGGATGCAAGAGCAGCCAACTGGTGTTGGATTTGCTGCTGAGCACCAAGACAGTCTTGCTTTACGTATGCTGTGTTACAGTGGCTTCCCGAGGACTTAATATATTACATCCATAGCACTCACAGATGTGACAGGGGAATACATTGATCCTGGATTAGAGAGATGAGATTCACTGAGGTGACCAAAGCAGAGAGGAGTGAAGGATGGAGAGGAGGAGGAGGGTGTGACTGGTGTGTGAGAGAGAAATGGAGGGAGGGAGGGTGAAGACAGAGTTAGACAAGAGAATGAGAGAGAGAAATCTTAATCAACAGAAAAGAAGACTGGTAAGGATAAATTGTGGCAACCACATGTCTTTTTCTGTTTTATTCCTGTGGAACAAGAGGATAGAAGTGCTGACAGAGCATGTTCTCCTCCTTTACCCCCAGTGTGTGCAGGGATAGTGGGGTATAAATTCCCACTGTCTAGGAACAAAGTGATCTCGTCAAAAATGTATGACAATCTGTTGGATTATGTACTCAGAGTAGCGAGACATAAAAATTAAGAGAGAAGAGGTGATAAAAAGGGTAGGAGCAAAGGAGGGACGTAAATACAAGAGATATTATAAACTTAACCTTTAATTTATTCACTTTTTAAAGAGTAGACCCCACTGAAGATCATTTGACAAGTATATTTAAGGTGATTTTAGACAGTTGTGCATTGTACTTAGACGATGGACAGTAACAGTAATCTTATTTATGTGATGACAAGTAGAAGAAAACAATGCGCTAAACCAGTGTTTCCCAACCTTCATGCAGGGACCCTTTTCTATCATTGAGTAAATTGATGACCCCTGACTAAGAGATGTGTTTTTTGGATATCTCCTATTACATTGAATGCATAACAATCACAGTACAGAAGAACTGATAAATTGTGCCATTAAACAAACAGTGAAGGCAATAATAATTTAATGTGAGTATAACATGAGAAATTAGTTTTCCTGATATTTTCATGGTAATTCTTTTAATCAAATCATACATACTTAATGGCCTTTTTTAAATTTTGTTCCTTTGTTTTCTTCTCCCAGAGGCTTGACAATTGTTTTATTAGATTTGGTTTTAACTGCAAACTTTTCTAATGCACACCTTAAAATCAAGAAGGCTTTGCGACCCCCCATGAAGTGTTGGGCGACCCCTAGTGAGGGTTCCTGACCCCCAGGTTAGGCACTAACCCAAAGACAGACGGACAGACTGAACTGTATTGTATATGTAATATTGTTGGACCTTATGTTTTTATTTTATGATGCATATGTTTGTATTGTTATATTTAAACCTGTATTAATTGATTTGGCTACTGGGGGCAGCACAACCAGCTCAGAACACAACATTGTCATATTATTACATTTTTATTACATTAACAGTTGCTTATTTACTCGTCCAGACGACATAAAACAACATGATCACACATGTGGACTGATGTTTCTGGAGACCTGGTGAACGTTCACTCTCTTTTAGCTCTGTTGTTGGTCTCCACCAACTCCAGAGAGAAATATCTGTCTCTTTAGCTGTTAAATGCCCACCAGCAAGGGGCTAACTTTGTCTGACTGTTGTTAGAGCAGTATGGCTTTATCAGAGCTTTTTCACTGAAACAGCTGTCCATGTTGCAGCCGAAAAAGACGCCATGAGAGCAGTGAGAGTGAATCAAAACTGTAAAGTTGTGGGCTATTAAACTAAAACCACATGAGAGTGCAGAGTGTAATTCTCTGTGGGTTTGTCACCTTTCTCATACACATACACATGCATTTAAAAATGTTATTTATATCAGCTTTAAATCTATGTCTAATTATATACCAGTATGTGTTTGGAGACTTACATTCAAAAATAAGTTTATTTTAGTGTAACATTACATCTCATCGTCTTAATATCTACAAAAAACATGCAACCAAAAACCACACAGGTCATTTGTAACTGCCAGTGTAAATATAGTACATTTTAAATGTTAAATATGTTTTTTTTTACATTTGACCTGTACCTAAGTACATTAGGTAACATCGTTTGGGACATTCTCTGGTCACAGTGACATATTCAAGTTGTGCAACTGTGAATTTTGTGTTTGTGTGTTTTCAAATTTGGCAGCTCAAACTGCAGGTCATTTTAGCAGTGGACTTGAAATTACCTGTACTTTTTAACTGTAGACTAAAGTAAGCATTTCATAGAGAGGTTTTAAAGACACTATCCTCATATAAATGCTGTCTCATGGCTTCAATATGAGTCCAGACGGCTTGTGTTTATTTTTGGTAGCCTGGGTAATGTCCGTCGATCCCTGGTGTAGGGTTTGCAGATGACAGAGATGCCACGGATGCCAATGCCAGATTTACTATTTATATTCAAGACTTTTATATATTATTTGAAACGAAATACAAACACCAACTAAGTGTGTGTGTGTGTGTGTGTGTGTGTGTGTGTGTGTGTGTGTGTGTGTGTGTGTGTGTGTGTTATGCCGCAGGTCAAGAATAGAAGGAGTGTCTTGGTTTATGAGGATTTGGCTGGTTTATAGGCTGCTTCGATGAGGCTGGCTGTTCTCCCAAAATCTTTCAGACTGCAGGAGGGGTGAGTTAAAGAGATGGGGTGTCACCTCTGTGGGGTGTGGCAGAAGGGTCATAGTGGTAACATTCCTTGTTCACATTCCACAGTGCTTTCACATTCGGGGTGTCTGGGAGCCTCAACAGCAGACATTGTGCAGCACCAGTGGTCTCCTAGGACTGACTCATATCCATCTCTCCCTCTCAATATTTTCTGTCTTTAAGTATCAAAAAAATGCACAAACAAAATAAAATAATAAACAGTGAAGCAGATAAATAACTTAAACCTGTTAAGCCAGTGATGTGAAACGTGCTTCCATATGCTGCTACACTCGTGATCTAGTATGTGAAGAGACCAATCGCATCCTCTGAGAGTAGATCAGGTCAGCCACATACAGTCCAAAGTTGACAAAGGAGAACACAGCCACCACAACCTTGCTGTCCCACGGACAGTTGCCCTGAGGACATGACGACGGTCTCCATGGAGATCCATATTTATTGTCAAAGCAGAAAACCGGCCACACCACTGATGCACTCAGGTAGAGCAGAACTTCCAGGAGGGTGCAGACCACCACAAAACGGTCAAAGGACATGCAGCGCACGGCCTTGGTCCGTCCGCACACAGTCATTACGACCACCAGAGCAGTCAGAGTGAAGCAGAAAGCGTAGACGACAACGCAGTAGATTGTGGCAACATAACGGGAATACTCACTCCTGTTGGCCAGAGCTCCAAAGATGATGCAGGCCACAAAGCCCTGAACTACTTTGAGGAGGCCGGAAACGGTGGCCATGTAGCCCACCACAGTCTGGCCTGGCCTGGCTCGGCATAAGGCCACTTCAGCCCCATAGGCCAGAGTACCCAGGATGGAGCAGACGGTCACAGCAATGCGGAAATTTCTGACATCACAGCCAGCGTAGGGGCACTCGGATCGGACAAAGAAGAGCGGGTAGACCACAGAGGCTGTCACATACCTGCAGGAGAAGAAGAGGCAGTGAGAGTGAACCAAAACAAAACAAAGAAGGAACAGCTGATGGGAACGACAGAGTCAGGTGATAATTCTCACTACAAGTGACACCTTTTCTCTTACACTTATCATTTGATCCATTGTTAAAGTAAAAATATGAATTACTTAGCAGCTCAGTGCACAACCAATACTTTTCCACAAAACGTCCAGTGTGCAGGATTTAGTGGCATCTAGCGGTGAAATTTCAGATTGCAACTAACTGAACACCACTGGTGTCTGTATTTGAATAAATGGGCTGTAAAGTGTGTAGGAGGAAGTGGAAGTGGCTGAGAAAATCTCAAAAAAAGGTCTGTGTCTGATGATTAATGAGTCAGTGAAGTAAAGTAAAAGTGCTACACCTGAATCTGTGACTTACATGAGCGTTGCAAAGGCAGCACATGTGACGGTTAGGTTGTCCCAGGATACGGGCAGACAGCTGTAGAGACGAGTAGCATCCAGGAAGAACACAACGACCGACATGGCGAAGCAGAAGCACCATGCCGCCATACAGAACACACCATGTGAACCGCTGTAGCCGGCACTGTGGGTTACCATGGCAATCACAGCACAGCCCATAGCCAACTGACAGAGGCGGGCAGCGCCCAGAGGTGAGCACAGGGCCCTCTTGTTTAGGTAAGGACCCCCCTGTGAATCCATAACTGGGTGAGTGTAGGAGAAATCAAGAAAGAAAGTCTACAGTAAGATCTTTAAGACGTAAAGCCTTCAGGCCCCCAAAGCGATTCTGGAGGTCCACTAGTTTCACAGGAGAGGATGATGTGGAGTTTAAAGTCTAAACAGCTCAAAGTTTTAGCTCAAGTTCAAGCCAGTCCCAACAAAAAACAAAAACGAAGCATGTCCTCGTGTAAAAGATGTGATTGTGACACCCACAGTCCAGCTTGGAGTCTTTGTCTTGAATATATCTATGAAAGTGAAAAACAAAACAGCTTGAAACAGTCATTTTTTAATTGAATTAACATTTAAAGAAATCATTCAGCTTCAATATTGTGTGTACTCTTACCTCACCTCTCTCATGAAGCAATCTTTATGTCTGTCCAGTTCCACTTTTCACCCCTTCAGATGAAGTCACCACACTGTTATGTCGCTGGAAAGCTTCTTCAATGATAAACTAATGTCTCTGCTTTCGTACTCAAACAATCTTGAAACTTGCAGCGACCTTGATAAACATGTGGCAGGATATCCGGGTGCTCAGGAGTTTTAAGGTGTCTATTGTAACCTGGTGTGGGGTGGATGGGCTCTGGGTTTTGGATGCATTATTTCTGCCGCCACCCCCAGACTTGGTGGGGACTTTCTGATTTCTATTTCTGTGTTAATGAATCATAGCATTGCACAGACATAAAGTGTAACAAATACGGGGGAAATCTCTCAAACTGTCCAGACTGGTACACACACTCACCTTTCTGCTGAGAGATCACACTGACTCATCAATCACAAATATCCACACTCAGCACTGCGCAGCCGGCAAAGCAGGAAAGATGGGTCCCGCTCCACTGTAGTTGTGTTTTGAGTTAGTTATTCCCTCTATTTTGAGAACTTGTAGATCCTAACAGTTGCCAGTTGAGTCGAGTCTTCTGGGAAACAGCTCCTTCAGAACCGCAACAGGACCTGGTCCAATCCAACCCTTCAGCTGAAATGGTCCGGTCCAGGCTTCGAATCTCCTTCTCGGATCAATTATCCCGATATGTTTTGTTCGTTATCTGTTGCTGTGCATGCTCATTGTGTGAATCCATGTGGCCACGTGAGTCAAAGACACCATCAGCTCTCCTCAAATGTCAACTCTCATCTTCTTACGTTCTCTCTGTCACACACGCTTCCTCTCAAACTTTCTCCTTCCCCACTGTCCCTTGCTGTTCTGTGGGGAGGGGGTTGCTGCCGGTCAGTCAGACCAGAATGGAAGTTATTTTGGGTTGGGCCATCACCACATGAGTGTCGGAGGGATGTGTACATGTGGTTGGGTGTGGAGTCAGGGCATGCAGACACATTACAGACGCTGTGGAATGAGATGCGATAACTGACCCCATGAGGTCAAGACATGTACAGATCAGGACCAATAATGACGTTGAATCTGAATTCTAGTCACTGTAAAAGTGACCAGAGAGATGTTACATCTGTATCAAAAGCTATTTATTTTCACCACACTGATTGGAAAAACAATGCAATCTATTAACTTTGGCTTTCAAAATGATCAAATTAAGTAAACCAATAATAAGTTTACTTAATATTAAAGTTCATCTGGGAGACCACCACCGAAATGAGAAACGATTAGCTGATTTAGTCTCATAAGATATTGAACTATAAAACTGGAACTCTGATTAACAATCAAATTAATAACTACAACCACAATTACCATATCAATAGAGTATGGCAGCATTCACTCTTGCGCAACATTAAATAAACCAGCATTAAAAGCGTTTATTAAAGAGATAATAAAGCATAAACACAAATCAAACCATAATGTGAGTAACTACCTAAGTGATAGTTTGAGTTATGTTACTGTACAGTTTCTGAGATATGCTGATAAGCGAGTAGGCCTACATGCCTAAAGCTATTAATGTTTCTTTGCAGACAGAGTCACAGTCAGTCCTGCCTTTGAGGGCAACACAGAGGGGACCATAGTCACCACTAACAACACAATTATTTTTTCAAACTTATGTCCTATGTCCCACATAAGACATCAGGATGTTGGTGTCTGCATATTTCCCCTTCAAATTAATTACATGTCAATGTCAAAGTCTCTGACAGTGAGTGACCAGGGGAGATCTACTGGCAGCAATTTAATTATTAGTTATTTTGTTTTGTACTTTGAATATTTGTTGCGCCCTGCAACCACTGAGCACTGATTCTTCAGAGAAAGGCAAGTTTAGGTCATCAAGATATTGCTGTGGTCAGTAGAGACTACAAGAGACTCATGCCTGGAAAACTTTTATCAACAGTATTTAAAATCATCTTCAAACTCATCTGTGTTCCTTGGCTTGATCTTAAAGCTTTACATGTTTTCACACTTAATGCCCATGTCTCATTAGGTCACAATTTCCTACCTAATACTGTTTAGAAAAGTGCAGATTATATACAAACATGTGATCAATTACAGGACAAAGTTAGAAATGATTGTGTGAATGAATGCCGATGTTTCCATAAAGGGAACAAGGGGTCACTGTGTGAGTATAACAATGATCTGAATCAAGCGATATCCTTCACAGCACCATATGCCAACCAATCTAAACATTAATGGGAGACTTTGGAGAGACATGTTCGCACTAACCAACACCATCGACAGACCCCCAAATTAGGGAATATCTTGTAACAGAGGGTCTTAAATTTTTTCACCCTGGGATCCAGAATTCAAATTCTAGCATGTCTCATAAACCTAAGCTCATGAAAGTATGATTGGACCCAAATCTATCACTTCACAGCCGGGGAGGGATCTTGCAGAGACTGACAGGCGCACTTGCATATGTGAAGGGGGAAAAATGTGTAGTTGTCACTATAAGCAGATACAGTACCAGAGTGAGTCACTATAGGAGTCCCCCAAAAGACCCTGAAATAAATATATAAAAATCCAACACAAATCAGAAGAAGAATAGTGAATGTTGTTCCACAGCCTGTAAAATCAATGCAAAGGAGCACTGAAGCTCTTCTGTCACCCGACAACTCACTATGTCCTCGCTATGACAGCTAATGTAGTTTCTCTTATATTGTGTACATGTATTAATGTACATGAAGTACATCAATAAGTCAATAAAGTGTCAGTACTTCAAAATGAGGAAGACCTGCAACAGCAAATCTGACAGGGTGGACATTAAAGGTAAAGTAGGTGTGATACAACAGAAGGATTGAAGTAGCTGTAAGGCACTTGTCATCATGGTAACATGAGTATTTATTGTAATACCGTCTTTTTTCAAATCATATGCATAAATTCAGCGTTTAGGATTTAAGAGTTTTTTACTGCTTCCAATCCCCACATTTGATGGACTTTGATAGTACGTCACATATTGTGTCATTGTTTAAATGACAAAGGCAGTCATGGAGACCTTTTGCAAAAAAAAAATCATTTGGAACAAAGAAAGAAAAAGCACATGAAAGTAAACATTTAAATACTCAAAGCCTTGTGAGAACTTTTATTAGCCTAATTATTATATGGATAATATATGCCCATTCTGTTTGCAGGGCAAGTTTACAAAATGTAAGACTTCTTTACGTTTGGATGTTTTATACATGTACTCAGAGTGGTTCTTAATTGTCATGTCAATGTGTTTCTACAACCCTGTCAAGATTTATAAATGTAACAATTTCAAGGTACGAATGTGGCCCTTTTAATGTGGAATTTCTCTAAATGTTCACAGTAAAATGGTAGATTTTGAGTCTGCATGTAGTCATAGATGTGCTGAATTCAATCATATCAGTCAATGTCAGAAATCATGAAGCATTGTGTTTTTATAGCACCTCAAATATCAGAATGTCAAGGTACAGATGTGAGACTTTTACTCTGAAATTTCTCTCAATGTCTGCAGTAAAAAAGGGGTTTAGGTTTGTATGTCGTGGTAATCCTCTGTGGGTTTGACACTAGTGATGCCTTTCACATTACACATTGTCATTCGATCCATTGTTAATATAAAAATATTGATCACTGCAGCTTTAAAGGTCCTTCTACCGCTAAACAATTGCTGTATATGTGTTTAAGCCAAAAATATGAAACAAACAAATTTGTAGCCAATAGAGGACCATAGTGTCCTGGGACAGTGAACATAACTTTAATAACCTTTGCAGCGGCTCTATCTTGGTGCCAAATTTTAAAGGATTACATTACACGTCTTAACCCATTTACAGTACTATGAATAACATATATTTTAAATTAAACATTTTCCAAACATATGGCAATGTTTTGTGTATCTGAATATATTTCCCATCCTTCCAGTTAACCACTGTTTTTAGTAAATTTGCAAAAACTGTAAAGTGATTAAAGTCCATCACGCTGACCGTTGTGTTTGCTTTTACTGACGTCAGAGTTACATTATTGTCATATGGTGATGAAGCTGTAAGTACAGACTGGTTTGAAAAGTTTGCACTGTGTTACCATGCAACAATAAAATACATGTGACAAAAATAAACACAGTCACTGTGTGAATTTCCTTTATGTTTTATGGGAATTAATGGAAATCAAAGGCTGTCTGAAAGGTTGGACACTACAACGAGTTTTGAGAGACACTGTATGTTTATGTTATTTCAAATGAGACATCACAGCATGGTCCACATAAAAACTTAAATTCCAAAGACATCTTTTTTTCTAATATATTGCAGACATTTATGTTTTATATGTAACAACCAAAGTCACCTTTAGAAGCAAGGCACCTACCACTAACCCTGTAAACGCCTGCGTGGCCTAAATCATGACCTGAGTTGTAACTCATTGTCTTTGTGTGTGTAATGTTACAGCAGCAGATATTACAACAGTGAGTCCAAATGTAACTATCCTCCCATCTGCTGATCAGCAGCAGCCTCAGCAAGTGGTCCTCTGCACTCCTGAGGTCTCTGTCTCCATCTGCAGGAGTATGACAGCCCGTGTTTCACTCATTCATCTACAAATGTACACAACAGCTGCATTCAAGTCACGACAAAATGGTGACATGTTGTCACATGATGACTAATGAAAGTACAAGGTCTGCGCTTTATGTAATACTTATTGTTTAATAATGATCACTCATTTATTTATTTATTTATTTCCTGTGTCACTATTATACTATACTATTATAATATGGCCTTGTTACTCTAATGTAATGATGAATATACGAGAGGCACAAACTGTGGTTAAGAAGGCAGATTATTATTATTTTTATTATTTTATTCTTATTATGGTATTATTATTAGTAGTAGTAGTACTTTGTCATTAAAATGTATCAGACACTAGATATATGCCATTGTTACATTAATGCAAAACTCACATTAGATGCCTTCATTGCAGTTATTGTAGTATTTGTATTTTTCATTAGTTTTTATTTTTTTATTTTGTTTTGAATTTTTGTTCCAGAGAGAGTTTGCTCATTTCAGTTTAGTTTTTATTATTTAAAATGTTTTATTTATCATAATCCCCAAACAAGGCTCAACTGATGGGTCACATTATGCTTAAATGGTAAACAAAATGCACAGTACTGTAGCTCCAAAACATCAATCCTTTAGTATACTTCAGTCATATAATCTTCCAATAATGTTTGACCACAAAGATCTTGTATTATAAAAACAGACTGATAACGAATTACTATTTATATTCTAATCATGAATTACTTTTTTTTAACCATTTCAATTTAACAATGTCTGGAAGAGTCCTTCAAATAGATATTTTAAAATAAATTAAATTTATTTACTTTATTTTTTTACTTTATTTAGCATTTCCTCACACTAACAAAGTCAACTTTCATTTACTATCAAACCTCAAAAAAGCTGACAACACATCTGTATTCTGCTCCAGTGATTCATGCAGGTTTTAATTGATTATGACTAAATTTTAGATGATGTATTATTGTAGAAACAGAACAAGAATGCAAAAGATTTTTACTGATAGCTCCATCTCTCTCCTTACGCAGGCGGCTGTGGTCTTGAGGAACCACTTGTTGTTGCTGTAGATGCCACCAGGGGCCGCTGTTGTAGCAAAGCAGCAGTGCTGCAGGTTAAAAGACCCTGTGGCCCCATGTGCTGACACCCTGGCTTTTGATTACAGCCTTTGAATGTCAAATAAATCATGGAAAAATAGATTTTTAGACAAGAATATCTAAAATGTCTTATTTTCAAGGTAGTTTCTATGTGTAAATGTTAAAAGTTGTGAGGCAGAAAGTGTAAGTTAAACCAACACAAACTCTATAAACAGCCTCTCTACTGTAAGTGCTCATCGCTTTATTTGGCATCAAAGACTCCAGGGGCAGTTGGAAGTAATTAATTTGCAAGAGGGAGACAGAGAGAGAGCCAGAGAGAGAGAGAGAGAGAGAGAGAGAGAGAGAGAGAGAGGGAGAGACACAGGGAGAGGCAGAGAGAGAGAGAGAGACAGGGAGAGGCAGAAAGAGAGAGAGGGAGACAGAGTGAGAGCGAGGGAGAGACACAGGGAGAGAGACAGAGAGAGAGAGAGACAGACATAGAGAGAGACAAGTGGATGGAATGCACTCCTCCCTCACTCCCACAACACACACACACACACACACACAGTCCTGCTCCCCTCTGTGTTCGGCCTCTTTTTGAAGTTCCTCTTGCAGCTACAAGAGTGAATGAGGCAGCAGAAGAGGGCTGAGGAACGTGCTCTAAGTGTGTGTGTGTGTGTGTGTGTGTGTGACGGTGACAACATGTGAAAATATGGCAGCGTGCTGCTTGTTTACTATTACCTGAGGATGGTCATATAACTGAAGGCATGTGAGAGTCAGAGGCTGCATGACTGTGTGTTATCATGAGGTCTGTTCTGTTAGATCAAAGCAGTCGTCTCCACGGTTCAAGAGAGCCACCTGAAAAATGTCGAGCTGCTCTTTCACAACGCCATTCACTTACTTTCAAACCCACAGATAGACAGACAGATAGACAGACAGACAGACAGACACAGTGCCTCTGATATAGCTGTGACTGACTGAGCAGCCCCTTTGTCTCGAGTGTAACCTCAAATACAAACCATCATATATTCCTATTACTTTCCCTCACTGTCCTTATTTTTTAACATATACTGGAAAGCTTTACTATATAAATACTGCACTTATCATCTTTGGATAATCTTCTGAGAACGCACGAGGGGAAATGCCTTAATATAAATAAAATTAGTTTTCTTTGTCATGATAATTAAATATATCTCCTTTTGCTGTATCTGCCTGTTCATCTGCTACTACTTATTCTGAAAATAATAAAATAAATACACAATTTAATTTGGGCTTATGTTAAGGCTAGTTGACGTAGCTGTCTTGCATTAGCTGCTGCAGTTAGCCGTATCTCTGTGATAAAGAGTTCAGCATTAAGTTAAAGTTTAAGTGGGCCAGGTTTAAGTTTACACAGCTGATGTTACTGCAGTCAGATTTTTAGCTTTTTTTGAATTTCTCAACACAGAGAAATCAAAAAAAGAAAAAAAGTGATAAAACAGTTGTATATACATAAAATCTATATATCCAGACTTAAATGTTGATTATTCATATCCACAAAGAAAAGGCTGTAAGGTCTCTAATAATACAGAATACTCCTCTTGAACCTCTTAAGCCATTAAAATGCTAAAATATGTTGAGGGTGCATCAAAGGCTGAGAGAGGTTCAGTACATACTGTAATAAACTACTGAAACAAAACTGTGATGGTGTACTCTGAGTTCGTTCTTGATCTTTGAACAGACTGGATGACAATATGAGAAACAAAATGTCCAGTTGAGCATTTACAATTCAATAACAACTCCACATAACACAATATAAGACACGTTTTTAGTACAACAATCTTTATTCACTTTGCACTACATCTTCAACAGCTGAATTAAAAACAGCCTCTTCAGCACTCTCTCCTCCAACTGCAGTGAAACACAACCATCTTCTCCGCAATGAAATATTCACTATTTATCCAGTCATTTATCTCATTATTTTGACCGTTTTAAAACCTAGTCAAGCTGCGGTCACAAAATTGAGCCTTTATCAAAGCGCAGCAAAGGTTTAAGTGCTCCACTCGGTCTGCAAGCAGCTTGTCAGTCTGTCGTGGTACGTCCTCCCATCAACACACAGCAGCAGTCTTATTTCTTGCCTGCACAGGAGACAGCAATTAATCCCTCAAGTTAACAGTAACATAATTTTAACAGTCCTGCCAAACTTAAAGGGATGGGTCAACATTTTGGGAAATACTTATAGCATATCAATACACTGGATGTGTAAACAAACAAACAAGGACTGAATCATCCTGAGACGGCTGTTTAGCGTGTGCAACATGTGACGTGTAAAAACGTGCGTCAACACAATGCTGATTGTCATGATGCAGAAAGATACAGAGCTTTATTAGTGTGCCAGAAGGTCACCAGATGGTTGAAGACCTGAAGTGTATCTCAATTCCTCCAGGATGCATCACGATACTCGGCCATGTCACGTCTAATAAGACAGGTTAAACTACTGGACATCTTCAACAGTCTTGGATGGTGTGTGTCTGTGTGTGTGTGTGTGTGTGTGTGTGTGTGTGTGTGTGTGTTGTGTGTGTGTGGTGTGTGTGTGTGTGTGTGTGTGTGTGTGTGTGTGTGTGTTTGTTTAAGTGTCCTCTGTACTGTAGCCTTCCACACATGGAGTTTATAACTCCCAATTCAGGCCCCCTCCCCCATCAGTCTTTTCCTTTTAACTTTCCTCATGAAAGAGAAAGCAGCCACAACTTTCTTAAAAAGACGCATATGGACACACACGGAGATCAGCCAGAAATAAAACACGCACAAAAACACAAACAAGACAGAAAGAGAGGGAAAACGGAGGATTATCCTAAACAAAAACATCGATACAGTGACCACCAGAAACACCACAATAGAACAACAGAAGAGCGCCATGCCTGGACAGACCACAGGGGTTCGAGCTGTGTGATGTGGCCCAGCAGCAGGCTCTCTGCCTGGGCCCTGAGTGTCTGTAGTGGTCTCCTGGGCTGGAGGGGGTGACCATCCTGAACTAATTGGTTCATCCTAACATGCATCCTTATCTTCTGAGTCATGAGGAATTCTGCTTTCAAAAGGGCCATTTCCTATTGACTGTGGTTTTGGGGTTTGTTTGTGTGTGTGTGTGTGTGTGTGTGTGTGTGTGTGTGTGTGTGTGTGTGTGTGTGGTGTGTGTGTGTGTGTGTGTGTGGTGTTTACCACCACCGTTCTTTCTCTACAGAAAAAAAAGGAAGTGATCTCTGAGGATGCTGGCTGGAGTGGTGAAGGCTTGTTTCTGTGTTGGGTGCGTAAGGGCGCTTTCACATCCAACCTGTTTGGTGCGGTTCACATGAACTCTGGTGTGTTTGCCTGTTTGGATCTGTTCGTTTTGGCTGGTGTGAAAGTGGTGGTGGTGTCAAAGGACCTCCAGCGCAGAATAAAGAACCGGACTGAGACCGCCTGAAAAGGTGGGTCTTTAGTAGATACATGTTTAAATTACCTATTAAAGAAATCTGCTCAAAGAAATGACATATTCACATCACATATTCTTTTTGAATGTAGAGAATTCCTACTACAACTTCATTGTTTATAGTGTATCTGTTGCAGTTAGTTTATGAAGCCCAGTTTGACTTTGAGGAGTTTCTGATGTTTTGGTTATTGCTGTCTAATTAAGATTATTTTACAACCATGGTAACGTGTAGGTGCATGTGAACTGCATTCAACCTTATTACTAGTGGAAGACCTGCTCTACATCCTGAGCCACAGCTGACTCATCATTTATGACATATGGGGTTCACTTGCACTCTCAAGTAATAATCTATAAAATCATGCATTTCATGACGAGCTCTTTGTGACACCAGAGATGATAAATATATTAAAAGTGCAGTGAAGGGCCACACGACTTGCTGTCAGTCACCACATGGGCCCTCTAAATGAGTATGTGAGTGTTTAAGTGCGTGCATGTGCTCTACATCCTGTCCCATCCTCACCTGGAAGCTTGAGCCACTTGGGCACCTTTCCCAGATCAGACCTGGTGGGTTTAGCAGCCTTGGTGTGTGCAGAGGGGTCTTCCTCATCCTCCGTGGACTCGCTGGTGTCCGGACTCGGCTCTGGAGGAGAAAGCGGCTCCTCGGAGCCTGTGGGCACTGACGGGGACAGGAGCATGGAGCTGAGATGGGATAAGAGAAAAAAGATGCTTTGGCGAAAGCAGCTTGTTGATTTTTTGTTTCTTGAGAAATAACTATTTAAACTATTTAAACTATTTAAAGCAGCGTTTTACACAAGGATTTGAGCCAGAAGTTAAACAACTGAGTGAGATCAAGATCCATAACAGAGGAGAAGAATGACCTTGTTAAAGAAGCAGAAAGGACAACAGGTGGGGGTCACTTTTGGTAAACAGGCTCTATCTATCTTTAGAAGGACTGGAAAATGGTGTGTGTGTGTGTGTGTGTGTGCGTGCGCATGTCTGGAGGAAATGAGGGCGCATGGGGGCACCTGCTGTTTAGGCAGAACCTCAAAGGGATTCCAATGATGACAGCTTTGTGACAGGAAAATAGGCTGGTTGCCGCGGGATACAACAGCATATACACACCCAAATGCACGCATGGCCGGGCACACATTTAAACACACACACTCACACGTGTACACATACAGTACCTTGCAATGGACTCATTTGCTTGCACGGCCGAGACAGAGGATTCAAGCAGTTCCCTCTTTATGTAGAAATCTGTGGAGTACACACACACACACACACACACACACACACACACACACACACACACACACACACAACACACACACACACACACACACACACACACACACACACACACACACAGTAAACTATTGTTTTGTTTAATTACATTCCTCAGTAATACACCAGTATCTAATTCAAAATCAGCATATGAAAGAAAAGAACCGAAAAAGACAAAAACCTGTCTTAACGTCAGAGCCGAAGTACACCAGCGCGCCAGGAAACAGGTCGGCCTGCAGACAGAGAAAGAGAACAGAAGCCATCAAAAACGTTTGGCACACGGGTCAAAAATCTAAACATGCAAACCAAGT